TTTATTTCTTAATTATGTCATTATCAACACGCCTGTATAGAATCAGAAATTCTGATAAAGTCGTTTATTATTGTCAACAGCATTCCAGACGTAGATGAAGACATAGCTAAACTGATAAGTTCACAGCCCGGCGATCAAACGCTACATGTAGAAAAGGTTGACAGTAGAAAGTTAAGCTCCGCCTCGCCGCAGGACCATCTCTCGTTATCCAACTTGTCCTCTTGCGACACAAGCTCCTGCAAGAACCTGTTCAGGCCAGACGCGGACCGCACCACCTACAATAGCAGCAGCCTCACGATACCTAATTTAATCGTCTCAGACGATAGCGATAAGAGATATTCGATAGTACAGGGAGAAACTTATGAATCGGACCAATTGACTATTATAGACATCGACAAGCCGTATACGGATGAAGTTCACTTTCAAGAGTTGAGCGACAGGAACACCCCGGTCAGCGGCGAATGCACGCCGGAAAGAAAACTTTCTAGTGTAGATTTGGAAGTAGACGCTACGAGCTCTGAAGGGTCCAACATTAGCGAAGATTTTAGTTTGATATCGGAGATTATGGACACGAAGCCGGAGGATCTGGAAGAGGGTAACATTGGTCACATAGATTCGCCTGAAATCTCGGAGACGACGTACGTCAACTCGGAAACTATTCACGGTGAGTCGATCATGGACGATATCAGTTCTATGCTCGGACAAGAAGTTCTCTTGGCCATGATGGGTAAGAACGGTGACAACGAAACATATACAGATGATACAACGCTGTTTACCTCAGATACGGTCTCGGACATTCCCATGGACAGCAGAAATCCAAGCTTGGAAAAACACTCCGAGAGAAAAATGAAACATGTATCAAAAGTAAAGAAGCGAAAAGAGGTCGAAGTAGAAAAATTTGGATTCGAGAACAGGGTTTTCTATATCGAGAACGCGCCGAAAGTCGATGAGCAAATTAAATATTGTAGTCTAGCACAATTCGAAGAAGGAAGTGATATTGCAAGAAAATCTTTTCGAAAGCAACTTAAAAAAAGTATAAAGAAACGCGTAGTCGAAGATGGATCCCTAAAGCATCTCCTACCTAGAACAACAGAAGAACTTACCCAAAAAGAGGAGTCTCCAGTTCGAACTCCTCCCAAACCATTAGCGCTTTCCAAGGAAGACAAGACTACAAAAGTGAACAATCAAATGCCGAATTTTCCTCAAGTTAGTGTAGTGGTAGAACCACCTTCTCCATCGCACAGTGAAGAACAAAAAAGCCTTAAAACCAATGGCAGTCGTATGGCTTCAGTGCTAAGCGATATCTTCGATCAGGGAACGGACACCTTGAGTGTTCACTCACCGGAGCCGAGTATTGCTAATAGTCGAGAGCGGAGATCTTCAGATAATCCAAAACTGCTCGGCTCCACGGATCCTGAGTACGGGCGATTTCTCAGTTGTTCGCCTGCTGCCACTCGAAGAATATCCTGTGGCAGTCTGTTCAAACCGGGCGAACCTGACAAGTAAGTTCCTATTTTATATCTAAATAACTCTCGAATGCTGATAATGTTCTTATTATTATATTAAAAGTGTAATATTTCTTTGGTGGTAATAAAAATATATCTTTCCTTTTCTATTTTAAAGCAGGCTATCCACATCGGTGTCGTCTATATGGGGTGACAGTGGCGTCGTAGGAGGGATGGGTTCATCAAAATCCGATACGAGTGAAAGAGCTAAAAAATTGCCAATTATCAATCCTCTAGTCCAGTTACCAGCATGGCCGCATGTCACACAAGGATTCATAAGCCAATGTCTGTTAGCGAACGCGGACGCTCTGTGTGCCGCTGTAAGTCCATTGATGGATCCAGACGAGACTCTACTCGAAGGGTTCTATGAGAGAGCGGTAATGAACAACTACTTCGGCATCGGTATCGATGCAAAGATAACCTTGGACTTTCATAATAAGAGGGAAGAACATCCCGAGAAATGTAGATCGAGAGCCAGGAATTACATGTGGTATGGCGTGCTCGGATCTAAGGAATGGGTCAATAGAACATATAGGTGAGGCAATATTCATAACCCACAAACATTTCATTCAATGTTGAAGTTGAGTAAACATTATAAATGTCTTAACTGTTCCTAAATACATTGTTTATCGGATTAAAAAGCCAAAGTTTTTAAAATGGGATCCATGTTCAGACATCTGGGTCAGCGCGTGCAGCTGGAGTGCGACGGGCAGAGGATCCCGCTGCCGGAGCTGCAGGGCATCGTGGTGCTCAACATCCCCTCCTTCATGGGAGGCACCAACTTCTGGGGCGGCACCAGGGCTGATGATATCTTCCTCGCTCCCTCCTTTGATGACAGAATACTTGAGGTAACCGAACTATACTATTCGTCCTGTACTTTCACGTCTTAACGTCGTACCTCTGTACGAACACAAGATGTTGGAGGTGATTTCCGAGTTTGGGAGACATAGGATCCAATTTAACTACCGGTGTAGGTGGTGGCGGTGTTCGGGTCGGCGCAGATGGCGGCGTCGCGGCTGATCAACCTGCAGAAGCACCGCATAGCGCAGTGCCGCGCCGTACAGATCAACATCCTGGGCGAGGAGTGCGTGCCCGTGCAGGTGGACGGCGAGGCCTGGCTGCAGCCGCCCGGCTGCGTCCGCATCATACACAAGAACCGCGCACAGATGCTCTGCCGATCCAGGGCGTTAGAGACCAGCCTCAGGTAACATTCCTCATCTCAATAAATACATAAGCTCCACTCTGTACAATTCGTAATCCAATTCATGGAAACATAACAAAAAAGTTCTTGTCGCGTTGTGAAAATCCAATAAATGATATCAATATACCAAGTGTATCCGTTAGAGCATGGGACGAGAAGCAACAGCAAAAAGCGCAAGCCAGCAACTCCTTGTCTTCGTCAGAAGCGGCGCAACTGCTGGCGTTGCTGGATGACGTCAACACATTAGTCAAACATGTGAGCATATAATACCTTGTTTAATTCACATTTCTTATCATTTTCGGTTAAACTTAGACTCCTCCTAAAACCAATATGCATGTAAGCCCTTGACAAACAGACTATCGTTATCGCAATTTCTAAGCTCTAAATTTAGATTGCAACACGAACTCATGACCTAAAATGCACTTTATTTGATAAAGGTGAAGCTGGCGTGCATCAGCGAGGCTGGTGCGGGCGGCAGCGCACTGAGCGCCGCTCGCCGCGCCGCCGCCCGAGCTGACGCGCTGCAGGACGCGGAGGGACGACTGCTGCCTCCGCCGCAACTGCGTCGTCTGCTCGCAGCACTTGTAACTAATAATTACTTATTTAAATTTTTCGCCTTGAAAATTGTAATAAAATATGTAACTGTTGACGTTTGTGTCAGGTGGAAAGCTGTCACGAGCTGCTAGCTAGCGGGTGCGCGGGCGCGGGCGCGGCGGCCAGCGTGCGCGCACACCTCGCCCGCTGCGACACGCGCGATGGACTGGCGTATCTACACGCTGATGAGGTATTTATACGTTTTAATAAAAGTGATGCTTTGTATAAAGTGAAACTGTAATTCCAAATATAAAATTTGTTTCTATTATGTAATTGAAGGAAATTAGACCAAAAAATTTAGTACAATTGTTATAAAACATTAAAGTTCAACAAACTAATGTAATCTTATTTCACCATCACCCTTACGCGCCCAGTCACCTGTGAGAGTTCCCAGAGCTTTCCGCACATTGTCCTTGGACGGTGTCAGACTTTATTTCTAGAACATTTCTATGCGCACAATCGACTAGCATCAGAATATCGTTGTCACTTCATATCCACTCATATTGCCCAAACCCTCCCCTCGTAGGTCCCCAAGAAGAGCACCGGTCGTTGGCTGCGAGGTCGAAGAAGCGTGTCGGAGGGAAGCGGGACCTCTCAAACGGCGGCACAGGTCCGCAACTGGGGCGTCAAGGAGGTCCAGAATTGGTTGGAATCCCTGCAGCTGGGAGAATACGCGGAGGCGTTTTCCAAGCATGACGTGACGGGGCGGGAGCTGCTGTCGCTGGCGCGGCGTGACCTGCGGGACCTGGGCATCAGCAAGGTGGGTCACGTGAAGAGGATCCTGCAAGGAGTGAAGGACCTTCAGTGACGACGTCGCGGCCGTTCTGAAGGGAATGGCCTCGCATAGATACTGGGACCCTTCGAGCGCCGACGTGTCTCGTTATTATGTCGTGTCGAATTTCTAGGACCATTTTAAAGTAGAGTTGGATTACTATATGAGATTGATCTCCCCTTTTTACATATTATTTTCGAATACACTAAGGCGTTCAAAGGGTTATTTTCTCGTGTGATTTTTATCTCCCACCGAAATGTGATTATTATCTTAACATTTTCAACGAGTAAATTTTTGCAATTTTAAAATTATTTATGTCATTACTTACTATTATTGTATAAGTGCTTTGGATCTACAACCGTTTTACTTAAAATTGAATGATTCATGATACTGTTTGAAATTATATCTACATCGAAATCTCTACCTCTTCTTAACAATGTTCCTCTCGAGAAAAACGAAACATGTAGTACATTTTTTAAACTCGTTGTTGTTAATATTTTTCCATTTAACCTTTTGAATGTTGACCAAATGACTTCTTAAACTTTTAATATTACATATATCATTAACCCTATCATTTCTTCTATATTAAGAAATCTTTATTAGATGTAAAGTTAGGAATTTTTTCAAGACATAAATATTTATAGATTAAAAAAATTGCGTTCATAATTTATTTAAAAAAAAAATTATATTATCGTCATCAATTTCTATCTTTAGTCAGTTATCAATATTTAATAATATAGAGTAAAAAAATTATAAATATAAAGTTTTACTGATTTGTTTTTTTTAGTAGTTTGGAAGAAAATAGTACTTGACGAATTTTATTAGCAGTTAACAGGATCTTGGTAAATAAACTTAAACGCAATACTCTACACATTGTCTTTTTTAAAATATATATAAACAATAACATTTTGCGCAATAGCGTTTAAAAAATTTGTGTAATTTTTTTCTTTTTTTTTTTGTTATATCTAAAAATGAATTTATAGACTAACATAATATTTGTAGCAATAGTTATTTAATAAAACTATATATTTGCACTATATACCTACTTATTTGCACATATAATGATTAAAATTAATACATAAATTATCAGGGATAAAATTTACAGTTTCTTCTATAGATTTACGATCAATATATACAAGTAGAAATTGCATTTTATAATATCCAAATTAAAAGCACAATTATCATATTTTATCTTAACATTTTATTTCAAACAAAAAAAAACAGACTTTCAAATTTAAATACACATCAGTAAAAAGTAATTTTATCTGAACGTAATCGATAAGAAGGAAAATAAAAAATGTTACGACTCACCATGTGTTTCTGAGTCCATAATAACCGCTTAACACATATTGTTATCTCGTTTTGGTCAAAGATGAAAGACAGGGATGACGGTATGTTTTATATAGAGATTTTTGCGATGAAAAGGATGAAATTGGCTCGTTATTAATATCAATGCATTTTATTATTTTAATGTAGTATTTATTTGTTACAAAGCACAAAGCATATAAAAACTAAAAAAACTCCAATGATAGCAATAAATAGTACTTATGAAATCTACAAGAGTTTTCAAATATTATAAATAAATATATTTATTTCACATATATATTAGAATAAGATTCCTTTTCGAAAAAAAATCTTTTTATCAATATGTTTGATTATGAAAAAGAAAAGATTTTTAAAAACTTTTGCAAAATAAACGTTTTGTTAATTTTTTATTTTTTAGTGCGAATAATATTGGTGGAATGATTAGCGAAGGCTAGGCATAGATCATTAGTAAGTAGACAGTCATTGTTGTAGGAATTTTATTTCCTTTTTTAAAATAATAAGCAATTACATCAAGTTTCGTCTATTCGACGCGTGTTAAACGCAATTTAATATTAAGATACTCTTTTTATAAATAAAAAAATGTGATCTCTTTTAATCTGTAGATGTAATTTGACTGCTTTGGTAAAATGAAACGTCAAAGTCAAATATTACGAAAAAATATTTTTAGGTTATGTATTTTTTTTTAGCATAAAAACGCTTCGATTTTTATTGCTATTATTTTTTTTTTAGTTTAAAAAATATTGATATTTTTGTTTATTAAATTCGTTTTTCCAAAGCAGTCCCTCCTTCTTAAAGGATCTGCCTTATAGGTGTTTTTTTATAAATGTATCTCTAACGAGTCGTCTCTACTAAGTCGTGTCTAAACTTATATTTATATAAATATTTATATACTAGTCTTATAAATGGTGATCGGAATGAATTGTAATAATGATGCTACAGTATACAATAACCAGCAGATACGGAGGTTAACCTTTTAAAGTCATTGCGTATATTTTTAAATTAATCTTATAAAATCACTCCGTGTAACATAATTCTACATTAGCTTTCTTCTGACAATGATTTTGTTTGTAAAAAATTTCAAAATATTATAATTGAAAAAAAAACAACAAAATTTTTTGTTTCAAAATGTTTTTTTTTTCTTGATAATATTATTATTTATATTTCTACTTGGTTTCAATCAACAATTCTATTTTCAAACTAAGAGCTATTTTTGTCCACTTTTCATGACTGTCTATAAAAGTGAATACTGAATATTAAAATTACAATATTAAATATTAAACTCGCAAGCTTTACATTTAACGAAAAGCAATATTTTTTATAAAAATACCATCGTAAAATGTCACGCACATAAAATTTACCTTTTTTCTTAAATCCTATCTAATTCGCTTTTTATAATATTTTAAAGTAATCATATATTATTTCACATTTACCATTATAATTTAAAAAAAATTTTGCTTTTAAAAAAATCTAGTCACGTCACTATAGAGTATACAAAAATATGACATCACTAGTCCACATGTTGTGTAGTCTGTTGTTAGTTGTTAGTAGTTTCTGATCAGACTAATTTCTACAAAAATGTTCTGTCTTAGATACTTCGGACATAAAAAACAAAAGCCAAACGGTTTTCTTTACATAATTAAAAATACAGGGTCTCCCAAAAGGTTACGTACATAGGATGATAGGGGTAGTCACAAGGGTCACCAGAAAAATAAAATAAAAATTCCCCTCTGGGTATTAAAAAAAAATAAATGGCATTTTTTAAAAACTTAAAAATTTTACACCTTCTGGGGCAATTTTGTAACCTACAAATATTGCTATATTTAAAAAAAAAAGCTATTTGTTATCGTCAATAACCCTTTATTAATATGAAATAAAAAAAAACAATACAACTAACAAATATTTTAAAGAAAATTAAAATTGCCCCAGAAGGTGTAAAATTTTTAAGTTTTTAAAAAATGCCTTTTATTTTTTTAATACCCAGAGGGGAATTTTTATTTAATTTTTCTGGTGACCCTTGTGACCACTCCTATCATCCCCCTTCCTACGTACGTAACCTTTTGCGACACCCTATATATTTTATTCATTTTAGTAGTTAATTTTGCTCAATATTAACTTATATTAGTTTAGGAATTTCAAACGTATAGGTTGAATTAGCTATAGAAGTTTAGTGCTGTACACTTAAAGCCAAAAATAATGTATACAAAATAGATTGTTTTAATTAGGTTTTGACTATTAGTTTATTTAAGACAAGATGTTATTAACTAGAACAAAAAAATAATTGGCAATAATAATTGTTTTTTTTTTCGAGGATTAGATTTTTTTGCATTTTTTATTATTATAATATTGTCAACGTGCAATATCCAAACATTAACCTAAGGGTGCTGTAAAAATGGATAAAATTTGCATTTTATTTCCGAGATTTTGAGAAATTGTGTTTATCATTTTAAGTAATTTTAAATAGTAAATTATAAACAAACACTGCAAAAGCATAATTTTGTTAATAAGTAATGAAGAGTTTTATTTTTTAATGCAACTGCAATACTCAATATCGAGTCTGAATATTTGAATACTTAAGCTAGCTACACACCTTCAGTTTATACTTTTAGCTGACAAGTCGAAGTGTTTGCACGAATGTTTGAGACATTCGCCATTTTATTGTGATCTACAAAATGTAAAAAAAATATGAAGCGACCCCTATCGGGCATAAAGTAAAACAAATATCTTGTACTAATTTTGACATAACTGACATTAACTATATTAACACATTAGCTGCCATGGTAATGTTTCAATCAGTCAGTGTCGGACTATGTGTCCGACAAGCCAAACTTCTATTCAACACCTCGCTGTGGATTTTTAATCGAATTGTTGTATACAGCGTGTTCCGCAAGGCCCCATTGAAATGGTTTTGGACAAAATTATTTTTTTTTTTTCGTTTTTCGAAAAATCATTATGGCAGCTAACGTGTTAAGACGATTGTCACAAACATTTAAATGTAATTGAACGTGTGTAGCGGATTTAAGTCAAGTTTTCTTAAGTCTAAAGAGTAAATGTGACGTTTTGTTTTTAGCTCATTGGATTGTTGATTCATCTTTGAGGCGTTTGCGTTTGTGTGATGAATGAAACTTTATATGACGTCAAATTTCTAAATGAATATGTATTTTCTCTTGATATTTATATTTGGAAATTCAATAAATTATACTGTTACTCATATTAAAGTGTTTTTTTATATTATAATATAATGTGGCAAACAAGCAAACGGCCACCTATTCGTTGCAAAAGAGAAATTTCCCTTCCTATGCGTCCTCGCCGCATCCTGACGCCACCCCCTCCTCCAACAAATCCAATTCCAGGAAAGAGACTAGAAAGTGCACTAAAAATAGTATTTTTTGTACCAGTAAATAGTTCAAGCAAAAAATACCTAAAGAAAATTGGTCTGTTTTTATGTTTATTATTATATCAGGAACCTTATGTTAGAACTAACCTAACCGTGACTTTATAACTGCAACTTATGTCTTATGTTTTAAATTTTACTTATACGTAACTATAGTAACTAACACTTTCGTTTTTAACATCTTATATTTATAAAAAAAATTCCAACAAGAGAAAAAGTAAGAATTTCTTCTTATCTCTTAGTAAAAATGCAATTTTATAATAGTTATAACAGCCACTTGAACAGTAATATTAAACGACTTCAAAAAACATTACGTATGAAAACGTATGCAAAGTGGGTTATTCAAACATTGACGTGTGGAGCCGCGGCATTGCAAATGTTTGCCTTGATCGCTGTACCGTGGAATTGCTTCTTTTGAACAGTTTTTTTTATGAACAGACGATGTGACAAAAAGTATTATGCGAGTTAAAAATTACAAAGTTCCATCCAACAGTGAGTTTCCACTTTAGTAACACCTTTGTAATGTTATTAGCAAGCACGTCAACGTACATCAATTCTAAAGGAACTTTTGCCGTTGGACCAGAACCTGTCTTATACTGCGTAAGGTAATTTATAGTAAGCATATAATTATGAATTTAACTTTGTTCTATCTGTGTCATTAAATCATTTATATGTAAATCTCATAAGAAGACGTAAGGGAGAAACTTCAAACAGTTGTATGTTAACTAAACCGTAAAGTTTCACGTTTACCTGAGAACAAAGCCAATAAATCACGTTGTAAATGTAAAGCGACGGTGCTTTATCACGTCGGCTTTTCATTTCAACGCTCAAATACAATAATTAAACATAGTTAATCCTAAACTCATTGTCACATGCGTGACTTTTCTCACGCGAGTTAAT